TGGGGGAAGAAACCTTTCTTCTTCTCTTTCAGTCCAAAGGCTTTTGGAAAAGAGGCAAGAGGCATTTGAAAGAAACAGAGCGAGTCTTTTAATTCAATGTCACCACCATTGAAACTCAAAGAAATTATCTTGGCTCCATTGACTATTTGATCTACTCCAACGTACTGTTTGAATAATTCGTCAAGTACGAGGTAAGCATCGAAGCCTTGAGAATTGTGAGCAATGACCGTTAGTCTACAGTCCAAGGACAGTTCTCTCAACCAATCGATGAAGTCAGCGATGCAGGTTTCCCCTTCGAAATTGAACAACTCTTCGGTGTTGGAAGTGGCAGCACACACTAAATTGGGAATGTGAACACCCGTGTCTTGCATGGTTTCACTGTCCCAGTAGACAAATATGTGAGGTCTTTCTTCAATCGATCTTGAACCATCGCTTTTTCTCTTTAGACGAGTCTTCTTGAGTTTCTTCATTTTTTCTTTTAGCTTGGTGGGATTTTGAATGAAGCATTGATGGTGGTCCAGGTTCTTGAACTCTTTACAAGAGGGGCATTCATTGGTTCCGCAGACATGGTTTGATGTGGTTTCACGGGGACGAAGCAATCGCATACACTTGCTGCATTTTCTTTTGCTGCTACATACACTTTTACGTGTTTCGTTTGCTTCTTTTCCGTTTTCTTCACTGAATTTGGTGTGGTTACTCAAGCAATGGGTTCCTAAGAATTTTCGTTGACATCTTCCACACTTGTAGGTGGCCCGCTCTCCCTTTTGAACTTTGTGATAGTCTTCACACTCGATTTGAAAATAGGATCCACATTTTCTTCCATTGCACTTGTGGGATTTCATGTCGTCGTGATCGTAGCCTTTCTCGCATATCAAACAGAAATGATTTCTTCCCATGAAAGCTTTCAGGGAGGTACATGCGTGATAATGTTCTCCTACTTTGATGAGAATGATGTCTTTTCGATGAGGTTGGTAGGGACCCTTGTAAATGATCCTGTAATTTTGATCGACGGAGAGTACGACCAATCTGTGATCGGGTAAAACCTCTTGGAACTTCATGATTTCGGGTATGCCACAGCTCGCTATCGGGACTTTTGCAGCTTCGTGTAGGGCCCTGGCTTTTTTTTCTTGAATTGGGAGACCTTTTCTGAGATTGACGTAATCGGGATGCTTTGTTCCGAGGTCAGCGTGTGACATCATGGTGACTATGGCTCTGGCACAACACAATTCGTCTTGGTTGTTAATCTTCACCACACTTCTCTTGAGATCTAACATCTTTTCGATAGCCAATTGTCCTTTTCGAATTCTTTTTCCTCCACCGTTTCCGGGACTGCGAATGTGAGAAATGTTGACAGAGAAACTATCGTCTAATTGAAAATTTTCATTTGAGTTAAGCATGGCCGAAATCTGTTGCATCATTTCTTCTGCTCTCAAACTACTTCTGGTCCAGTCACTCACTCTCATGCGTGGAGAATGGTAGCCGTGATGAAGTCGATTAGAATTGAGGTTGACATACAAATAATCGTCGGCTTTAACTTCTGGATCGTTTAAGACTTGTTGTTCTATACTACGTCTGACGGCTTCTTCTAATTGATTGGGTAGAATTCTCTGAATGAAGGCATTGAAATCAAGGGCTCCTCCATGTTGGACCAACCTTCCGGTGTAATTTCGATGCCTCGCTCCTAGATGTCTCACTCGTCTGTCTAGATGAGGAGTCAAAACAAAGTCGAATCCGTTTTCCACTTCATGGGCATGATTTGCGAGAAGGAGGTTATCTTCCTCGTCGCTCCAATCGAAGTCCAATTCATCAGTCATTGTAATCGAAACGAGAACAAAATAAAAATGGAGTAGATACATTACCAAGGAGGTGTGAAGAACAGTCACTTTTACGGTTGAATTTATAACGTATTTTTCCCGCCATTTTTTATTTTTTTTAGTAAGTGAAGAGGGGGATACCCCCCACCCACCCCCCCAGTCTACTCTTTCTGTGACGTGGATTGGCACGTGATGACTCGTGTACTTATTGTTAGAACTTGATGTGTTGGTTTTGTGTGCTGTAGAACTCGACTCGAGGTAAGTCATGGCTTCAAACTATGATGATTGTTTGATATGTCTTGAACCGTGTACTCCTTTTCATAGAAAAAATATACACCGTGCTGTCGAAAAGTGTTTCATCATCGATGTCTCGATTTATTCCTCATGAAATGTAACATTTGTGATGTGCGTGTCGACGCGAGTCTGGGATGTTTTTACAGGAGCAAGTGCTGCAATAGCGTATTCCATTGGTCCTGTAAACTCGACGAACAGAGGAATTTACCTTTTAATAACAGAAAGTGTCCAGTTTGTGAATGCTTGCGTTTTGGGGAAGACAAATTGAGGCCTCACATCGACGAAGAATGATTGAATTGATTTTGAAACGCACTGGACCGAGCACAACTGAACTGAAGATTAACGTTTTTTATTTACTGTTTATTGTCAGACTCACGGGTGAAGCTACGCCTCGAACTGTGTTTCTTCTGGGAGTTACTGATTTGAAGGAGAGGTATGTTACTAGACGAAAAATGGAATGAACTGAATAGACTTGGACTGATTGTCGATTTTTGGTTGGAGAGCGAGAAAGAGAACTGCTTGTCTGATTTTTATTTGACCCTATTGACATTTGCAGATAATATTGCACTCGTCAGACGTTATTTTGTCATTTGTTTTGCGGCAAGACAGTTGAATATGTCCTGCGAAACAGAAATGAACAAAAGTTGTGAAATGGTTGATGACATTAGAAAATGGTTACATTTGATTCTTGTTTTTTAGATGGATGATTGTTTTGTTTGCAAAAAAAGTTCTACAAGCGAAGAGAATCCATTAAAATCTACAGGATGTTGTTTTTCGCGTGTTCATGAAGAGTGTATTGATGTAAAAAATGCAGTGTGGTGTCCAATTTGTAAAGAGCGATTTCAAGTTTTAGATAAAGTTAAAAGAGCCGAAAAATTCACTCCTCTACAAGCAGAGGAGATTGAGAAAACGTTCTTAAATCATTATGATTTATATAAGAATCCAAGACCGCCTACTTTAACTAAGTTAGAAAGAAAGTACGTAAAAAAAGCTTTGAAGATAACTGATAATCCTCTTCTAGCTGCAAGTAGAACTAGCAATAGAATTTACAGTGTGTGTATATATTTTCTGTTTGATTTACCTGAAAAGGAGACGAGTGATTGGGAAGACATTGCTTCCAGATTATCTTTAGGTTATATTTTACCTATGCTACGAGAGATGAAGAGTAGATATCTGTTAAGACAAAAAAATGGTGGAGATCATCCTGTTTATCACTTTTTGAGGGAACTTTTAGAAATGGATGTCAATGATTCTTGTAAAGAAAAAAGACAGGCTATAGTGAGAACTTGTAAACGAAAATGTGAACAATGTATAAAATTTACAAAAATCATAGTTCAAGATGATGAATATCTGAAAGGTTTTCCGAAAGGTGCAGCATTTGGTAATCCTTCTTATCTTTATGATCAGGTTGAATTGAAAAAAGATGTCTCAGTGCAAGAGATTTTTAAACATGTAGATTTTTTTAATGCTGTGTCAAATGCAATCAAAAACAATGAAATATAATTACATTATGAGATCAATAAACACTTAGAGATTTAACATTGTCTTGGTTTGCATCACTTTCTTAACGAATCTCTCGGTTAAGTTCTTTTTCTTAAACTTGTTGATGCTTTGTATCATCTTTTTGTCAGCCTTGTGCTTGTCAGCCAAGTTTCTAGCTATACTGTAGTCGATGTCATGCTGTTTGGATACTCTGCCTAATCTATTTATGCCAGGGTCCCCTCGCTTTAGTCTCTTCTCCAGATGTGTTCCAGGTCCCATGTACTGATAACCGGGCCAATGAAATTCCCTTCCCGTCTTAGCTATCATTTTTTGAATGTCGAATCCTCGACGTTTTTTGGATCCTGTCTTCTTGGTTGTTTTGGTGACTCTCCCTTTAGATGATTTTCGAGTAACCGCTCGGGACTTTTTCTTTTTAGTCGCTGTCATAATCACGCTGTAGACCTTTTCTCAGTTTATGTCCGGGAGGGTACCAATTTTCCCAACCAGGTAAAGGAGCTAGTTTTTCCAACTCTGTTTTACGTTTCTTCTTGGGTTGTTTTCCTTTTGAGGTTGTTCTACTTGTACTAGGTAGACCAAGTGAATGCATCAAACTCTCACCCGCTGCTTTTAAGACCTTCTTTTTGACTTCTTTACCAAGTGATGATTTTGGAGTCGATTTGAGTGAAGTCGGTTTGGGGTGAGGAGAAGATTTCAAGGTTCTCACAGGTATTTGTGAGGCTGGGGTGTGTGGAAGAAGTCTTCGCTTGGCTTTACTGTAGCTACCAGTAAAATGAGGAGTTTGTGGTTCTTTTTTAACTGCAGACCCTTTGATGATCTTACGCAACATGTTTTCCAAGGGTCCTTCCACCATACCTTCGTCATTGTTATCTAAGTCGATGGGTTCATTTCCTCCAGTACTCCCACCAGGTCCTAAACGAATTCGTTTGGTCAAACGACACTGCTGTCTTGCTAAGGGTTTGGCCATCTTAACAGCTGTAGCAGCAGGAATTTTTTTACTAGTTAGGATGATATGTTTTTTGGCGGCCACTCTACCTGCTTTGTTTAACAGAGTACTATCTGAAATTTGTCCTTTGAAGTATTGAGTGAGATTCTCAAAGTTTTTAGCCGGTACCATGATCATTTCGTTCATGACGAGAAGCAGTGTGAAAGAGTTCTTCCCAATAAGCAACTTTTTCCTCTGTTTCTTTTTGCTTAATCTTGAGAGATTCAATGGTCTCTTTTTTCACTGAACAGTTTTGACACAACGTTATTGTATCGCCAGGTTCTGTTTCCACTGATAGACGTTGACAGTCTGAACAAACCTTATCAAACTCCTTGGCTAAATACAATTGATGAAGTTTTTCGTATTTTGTTTGCCATTGACGTGCTAACTCTTCTTTTTCTTTTGCTCTCTCTTGGAAGTGCTCGACGGTTTTGTTGGTCTCANTCAAACGGCGTTGCTGTCTTGCTAATGGTTTGGCCATCTTAACAGCTGTAGCAGCGGGAATTTGCTTACTCGTTAGAATGAGATGTTTTTTTGCAGCCACTCTACCCGCTTTGTTTAAAAGAGTACTATCTGAAATTTGTCCTTTGAAGTATTGAGTGAAATTGTCAAAGTCTTTAGTCGGTACCATGATCATTTTGTTCATGATGAGAAGCGGTGTGAAAGAGTTCTTCCCAATAAGCGGCTTTTTCCTCTGTTTCTTTTTGTTTAATCTTGAGAGATCCAATGGTCTCCTTTTCCACTGAACAGTTTTGACACAGCGTAATTGTATCACCAGGTTCTGTTTCCACTGATAGACGTTGACAGTCTGAACAAACCTTGTCAAACTCCTTAGCTAAATACAATTGAAGGAGTTTTTCGTATTTTTTTTGCCATTGACGTGCTAACTCTTCTTTTTCTTTAGCTTTCTCTTGGAAGTGCTCGATGGTACGATTGGTCTCTTGTAATAAGTTGACCAGTTTAGCAAACATGTTTGAACTCATCTTCGTCTCCCACCGCAACAAACGTTGTAGTAATTGGTTAAACCTTTCCACAAGATACTTCCACCTTTCTGTTTTGACTTCAATTGATTCAATAGTATTGTCTTTCTCTTTTTTAAACTGGTTCGTCTACTACCCAGTTCTCTCAGCTTTGCTGTCTTCTTTTTAAGGGATTTATAGACAGGTCGACTGACAGGAATTTTTCCACCCAATAGGNCATTTCTAAACTCATCGTCTCCCACCACAACAAACGTTGTAGCAATTGGTTAAACCTCTCCACAAGATACCTTCATCTTTCTGTTTTGACTTCAAATGATTCAATAGTATTGTCTTTCTCTTTTTCAAGCTGGTTCGTCTACTACCCAGTTCTCTCAACTTTGTTGTCTTCTTTTTAAGGGATTTATAGACAGGTCGACTGACAGGAATTTTTCCACCCAATAGGTTCAAAACCATTTCACTGATTGCATTGATCTGTTCTTTGTTGGCATTTTCTAACATGACTTGCCACTTGTATTGATTAGCTTGTTTCAAAATTCCGTGCAAAAAATTACGGTGAGCCACAAAATGACTATGACTCATGTTTCAAAGACGTTGTCTACCAAGTTTGCTTCGTCTACAACCAAACCTCTTCTTAACATGTACCTCCACTCAGAGGCTGTAAACTCACTGGCAAAGTAGTTCTCCTCAAATGGTTGTTCACCACTCCGATGCTTGCGAACAATCTCATCCAATCTATCTAACTCTTCGTTTTTTATAGTCGAGTCCCGGAACTTCACTACAAACATGTCCATTCCCTTTATATGCTGTCTAGGTTTTTCTTTAAAATCACTAACTGCTTCTGAAAACGAGATCAACCTCTTCAAAGACATCGTTGCACAGAATGAAAAATTGTAAATGTTGAAAATCCATTTTATCACTCAGGTTTGATCATATTGCACAGGTCTGTTTTTGACATCAGTCTCCTCAATTTCAACTTGACTTGGGGTATTTTTTCATTAGACTCAACAGGGTTCCTCTACCGTCGATACTTTCCACTTTCAACAAACGTACCAGGGGAACTGAAGCTGCTGGAATTTTACGAATCAGACTCAACAGAGTGATTTGTTTGTCAATGGGTTTAAATCCTTTGGTTCCTTTTTTGAATTTTCTTTTCTTTCGAGGTTTCTTGACAAATTTCTTCACGTCTCCGAATTTGTCTTCGTACCAATGCCTCTTTTTCATTCGTTTCTTTTTTTCGTCTTTCTTGGTCTCAGGTGGAGCCATGGCTGGAGTCGGTTGAAGTGTTTGAAGAGCGATTCATCTTTTTGGTGCTGGAGGGTTGACTGGAGTCGGTTGAAGTGTTTGAAGGGCAATTCGTCTTTTTGGTGGTTGGTTCTTCTTGACCTGAATTGAACTCAGTTTGACAGTTTTTTCTTTTCTCCCTTGCTTTTACCTTTCAGTTTACCGTATTTTTCGTAGATTTTTTCGTACTTGGATATCACATCGTCCAGGTGTCAATGTCCTTGAAACTGTAGATCCA